TCTTATCTCCAATTGAACAGTAAAATTCCAGAACTGGAGTAGTGTCTCAAGTGTTAAAGTGTCAGCCTTGAGCACAAAGGCTAAACAACAATAAGAGACTCTGAGTTCAAGCCCCAGGACTGGCACAAAGAAAAGAAGAATCCGGATGAAATAGAAGAACTAAGCCTAAAGGTGAGAGAATGCAGGCAGGCTGGGTAGGGGGATTATCTGGGAGTTAGTCCTCCTTCCCTTCCCTTCCATTGTTCTTGTCTCTATCTGCTCTAGGAAAAAGTCACATGATTTCCCACTTAGGGTATTTGTTCATCTTCTGTCCTTATCATCGCTCACACCACAGTCTACAGTGACCTGTGTATTTATGAGAAGGCAGCACAGAAGACAGAACAGAAAGAAGCAGAGTATAATGTAGATGGTTTTAGTAGTGGGCCTTAAACTCAAGGCCTCATACTGTCCCTTAGCTTTTCCACTCAATGCTGGCACTCTACCATTTGAGTCATACCTCCATTTATGGCTTTTTGGTGGTTAATTGGAGATGAGTCTCATGGATTTTCCTGCGTAGGCCAGCCTCAAAGAGCAATCCTCAGATTTCAGGTTCCTGGGTAGCTAGGATTATATGTATGAATCACTAGCACTGGGCTAACCAACTTTGACTGAATGCCTAGCACATGGCATAAAGTCCTAGACAAGGTTCATTATTTCTTTTTCAGTCCTTTCCTTCTTTCTCTCCAACATCTGCCATTGGCACTCACAGTGATATGATGTTTTTCATGGGTAGGAAAATGCTGTAAAACAGACCAGAAGCAATGTGATAGGGAATCCTGGGAACTGTTGCACATCATACTTGTCATATGGCCAAGTTAATTTTGAATGAAGAAACAAGGACTAGGGGCTGGAAAGGTGGCTCCATGATAGAGTGCTTGCCTAGCATGCCTAGGTTCCTTTCCTTAGTACCACATAAACAGAAAAAGCCGGAAGTGGCATTATGGCTCAAGTGGTAGAGTGCTAGCTCTGAGCAAAAGAAGCTCAGGGACAGTGCCCAGGCCCTGAGTTCAAACCCTAGGACTGGCAAAAAAAAAAAAAAGACAACATACACAAATGAAATTCAGCCCATGTAAACTTCTATTAAAGAAATTCTGGGCTCTTTTTACTCAAATCTTTGGAAAATTATTTTAACTGGTGGAAAAATTTCCCTGAGTTTTTCATAGATTCCTCCCTCCCCTTTCTCTTGCACCCATAGATGAGTTAGTTAACAACCAACAGAGCAGATACCAGCTTGACATTAGGAGTGAGATGCCAGGAGCACAGATGGTCCACAACCCAGATAATTAACTTCTGAAGAAGCAACATCTAATATGTCTTCTCTGGGTGTAGGGTTTAGTTGGGCACAACTGGGGCAGAGAATAAGCAAATTTCTTCAACAACTCTTCTTTTACCTCTTAAAATGTCAGCAGAGCCCTCATCCATTTCCTGGGGACAATGATCTACTGAAAAGACTTGCAAGGAAGAGTTCCAAATAAATTCTGTAGATACTCTCAGTTCCTTAGGTATGGGCCAGACATAATACATAGTATCTCTCCATGTCTCCTCTCCTCTCTCTCCTCCTCCCTACCCCTCTCCTCCTCTCTTCTCTCTCTCTCCAGGTAGGTCCTGGGGTTTGAACTCAGGGCCTGGGCACTGTCTCTAAGCTTTTATCTTCGAGGTTGGTACTCTACTACTTAGCCACAGCTCCACTTCTGCCTTTTTAGTGGTTAACTGGAAATGAGTAGCAGAAATTTTCCTGCCTGGACTGGTTTGGAGCTATGATCCTCAGATCTCAGCCTCAGGATTTCATGTGTGAGCCATTGGTGATGGGCTTCACATAGTGACTTTCTTCCAAAATGTGGGCTTAGGGCAAAGAGGAGAGAATTTTTTTTTTTTTTTGCCAGTCCTGGGGCTTTCAATCAGGGTCTGGTCACTGTCCCTGAGCTTTTTTTGCTCAAGGCTGGCACTCTACCACTTGAACCACAGTGCCACTTCCAGCCTTTTCTGTTTATATGGTACTGAGGAATAGAACCCAGGGCTTCATTCATGCTAGGCAAGCACTCTACACTTAGCCATATTCCCATACCAGGAGAAAATTTCTTACTCTGTGTGTGGGTGGGGAGGGGTGAGTGTATTGGTCTTACAATGTTTTTTGTTTTTTTTTGGGGGGGGGGGTCCAGTCGTGGGGCCTGAACTCTGGGCCTGGGCACTGTCCCTCAGCTCTTCAGCTCAAGGCTTTAGCGCTCTACCACTTGAGCCACAGCACCACTTCCATCTTTTTTCTTTTTGCTTATGTGACGCTGAGGAATTGAACCCAGGGCCTCATGCATGCAAGGCAAGTGCGCTACCACTGAGCCACCTTCCCAGCCAGCCCCATCTTACAATGTTATCAAGGCTGATCTCAAACTCCTAGGCTGAAGCCATCCTGACTTAGTCTTCCAAGTAGCTGGCACTACAAGTATACACCAGAGAACCTGGTGAAAGGCACTTTTTGGGGGAGAAACCTGAGCCACTCTTACTCCTGCTAGATGATAAAAGTCATCATCAGGGATGGGAATGTGGTGTAGTGGTAGAGTGCTTGCTTAGCATGCATCAAGCCCTGGGTTCCATTCCTCAATACTACATAAACAGAAAAAAGCCAGAGGTGGCACTGTGGCTCAAGTGGTAGAACGTTAGCCTTGAGCAAATGAAACTTAGAGACAATGCCCTGGCCCTGAGTTGAAGCCACAGAACTGGTTAAAAAATAAATAAAAATAGGGGCTGGGAAGGTGGCTCAGTGGTAGAGTGTTTGCCTTGCATGCATGAGGCCACGAGTTTGATTCCTCAGTACCACGTAAGCAGAAAAAGCCAGAAGCAGTGCTGTGGCTCAAGTGGTAGAGCTCTAGCCTTGAGCTGAAGAGCTGAGGACAGTGCCCAGGCCCAGAGTTCAGGTCCCAATACTGACAAAAATAAATATAAATAAATAAATAAAACTATCGATCCTCAAAAACAAGGGGGAACTAAGGATCCTGAGTCCAAGTCAGATTGAGCAAGAATGTTTGTGAGACTCTTATCACCAATAAACCACTAAAAACTAGAGAGTTCAAGCCCTAATACCAATACACATGCATGCAAAAGCCACTTGAATGATGGAGCAAACCTATAATCTTAGTACTTAGGAATCTGAGGACTAAAAGTTCAAACTCTAGGCCCCACCATACAGTAAAAAAAGGAAATAAGCACAAATGAAACCAAACAGATAAAAAGAAAACAAAAACAGAAAAACAACAACAAAAAACACACCCTCAAGGAACATGTGAGAAATTGCCTCAGCCAAGATGAGCCTAAGAAGAGAGTACAGCTAACTACAATATGAAAATTGGGAGCACAAAGAGAAGCAGAAAGTAAAGGTCTGGTAGTAACTATAATAAAAGGACTGGTAATAAATAATAATAATAATAGGATAGTGCAGGGTGTTGTATCTCACACCTTGTAATCCTAGCTGCTCAGGAGACTGAGGCAGGAGGATTGAAAGTTCAAGGCCAGCCTAGGCTATTTATGGAGACCATGCTCAAAATTCAGAAAGAAAAGGAAATTCAGAAAGAAAAGGCAAAGAGCACCCTCTTACAGTACGTTTTCTTGGTTCTCTCAGTTTTTGGCTATCATCTTTGGTGGGGGTGGGGGTGAGGTGAGGGCACTTACATTACATTCTGACTCCCTAGAGCGTATCCTATCCAAACCCCTTCTGTGTTGCTCAGGGCTCTGTGCCTTCTGGGCCCACGATGACCTCATTCATTCTCAGGGTTTCAGTGACGACTTCTGAAGACTTTCCAAAGCTCGTCTGGTTCAAGCAACCCTCTGTTATACAGCGCCCCCTAGACGTCCAATTCAGCAAGTCCAAACCCAAAGCCCGATTCTCTTCACCTCTCCCCAGTTTTTCCTCTCGCAGCCCCAGAACCTGAGCTTCACCACCTGTCTTCCTTGTCTCGTAGCTCCTGCTAGTCCCTGAATTCTGTCAATGCTTCCTGCATAGGGCCTCTCGTTCTGGGGTCCATCCCCAGCCTGCTGCCTGCCGGGTAAATACATTTTTAGGTGGGGGCTCTCTGCCCTTAGGTGTCCCCCATTTCTCTCATTACGCCTTTCCTTGCTTCATTCCTGTCCGTTTCTCTCGGGCCTCTAGAAGGTATTAACATAGGAAAATGTATATTCTCTGGGCCCTCCGCCAGGCAGGCCACGATTCCTGTGCAATGAAATCCCTCAAAAATCCTTTATCGTGAGGTGTGTGTGTGTGTGCGGGGGGGGGGGGGGGTAGTGTTAGTTACATCTGTGTTCGAGACAGAATCACTAGTAATTAGTAGTTACTACGATCTATTTATAAATGCATCATAAGGAGACAAACGACTCAGCCATTCACAAGTTTTCCGTGTCCGGAGTGATGGAAGTAATGATCCACAAAACATCTTCGAAGAGAGAGTGACGCGAAAAGGTGATAAAGAACGGCTGTATAATCCGATTAATTTAAGACCTGAGAATAAAAAGCAGGTAGAAACAATGAAGGAACTTTAAACATTGAAAAGAAGGTGGGGGGGAGGAGCCTGACAACAAAAAACAAAAACGATCCACGATGTTGTGGAGATTTGAATACCCGCTGAAGTGTGTTTGATGCAATAAAGGAGTACCAGTCCCAACGAGCCAGCCAGGAGTCGAACCTGGAATCTTCTGATCCGTAGTCAGACGCGTTATCCATTGCGCCACTGGCCCCGAGACACTCCCGTTTCTCTCAGCAATGATACTTCAAGCTTATGCAGCAGTGTTTCTTGGGACCTGTAGTCCTTCGCTAGAGTTCCACATGCATCTGAAGCATTCTGGGAGAATGAAGATCGTCACGAATGGGACCCAGAGATTGGCGGACCCGAGCGGGGACGCCGTACGTCACTGTGCTGCCCGCGGATTGGCGGGAGGAGACACTCCCCACCCCTCCGCCTCCTACTCTGGAGCTGTGGAGACGCTATGGTTGTTAAGGCGACTTGTCCCGCCTCCTGAGGACCTTTTTCAGCTTGGTTATTGGCTGCTAGTACCAAGGAATCCCGGCGTGGACAGCGCGAGGGAAAAGATGGCGGCGATGGCGGTCGGAGGTGCCGGTGGGAGCCGCGTGTCCAGCGGGAGGGACCTGAATTGCGTCCCCGAAATAGCTGACACACTGGGGGCTGTGGCCAAGCAGGGGTGAGGGCCGGACTGCCACCAGCGAAATGCGGGGCCTGAACTCGGGAGAGAAGGGCAGACTAGTCATCCCCGGCAGAGGATGAGGGCTTGAGAAACCTTCACTCCTTGAAGGGGGAAATCTCGGCCCAGAGAACTCGAGGGAAGAAACTTGGGGGACGTATGATCACTGAACCCAAAAGTCAGGGGAGTTGTTGGGTAAACTTTTTTTTTCTTTTTAAGAAAAGGGACGTAACAGCCAATCTTGTAGTGCCGTGGAGATAGAGATTGTCTGGGTGAGGGAGGAAGTCTTGGGAGGCAAAGGGGAGTTATTAATCTTTTGGGGGGAGGCATGGATAGTACTGGCCCAAATCTGAATGTTGACAGTCTTGAAAAGCCAAAAACACCAGGAAAGAAAGAATGTTACTTGGTTTGGGTTTCCATCATTTCTCCTTACTCCTCTTTTCCATGGCTATGTTTTGGGGGGAAATTGAGGCACAATGTAGCAGAAAAGATTATGCCCCAAGATGGGCTGAGTTAAGCAGATTATTGGGGTGATTGATGGCAGCTAAAATGGCTGTGCAAAATCAAGATGGCCTAAACCCAATTGCTTGGGCATTGATGCTCATGATGACTCTGGGTCTGTCACGGTTGTAGGTTTGATTTCCTCTGCATGCCTGTCTTCCACCCGCGTTTCAAGAGGGAGTTCACTCAGGAACCTGCTAAGAATCGGCCTGGTCCCCAGACACGATCAGACCTACTGCTGTCAGGAAGGGGTAGGGACTATACCATATGCCCTTAATTATTAGAGGCAGAAACAACTAATGCTTTTATTAGGACCCTCATCTCCTCCTTTTCTAACTTGGATATTGGTTAGTATCTGGCATATAGATAACTCTTCTTTTGCTCCTTGCTGCTTACTTGCTAAAAGCCTTAGTTCCCTATTCTATATCAGGCTATCCCCATATCTGTAATAGAAAAAGTCTTTATCTTTCATCTCTACTCTTTATGCCCTGCTAAGAACTAGAAAATGAACAAGTAAAGTGCTGAATCTCATTCAATCTTTGTCTTTCTTGTGTGGGGGAATGCAGATTGGAATACTCTTATTGTGGGGAAGCTTTCCCCATGGATTCATCCAGACTCAAAAGTGGAGAAGATTCGAAGGAACTCCGAGGCAGTAAGCCTGTTGATCTTTTTTTTGTGGGGGGTGGGGGGACTGGGGGGGGGGGTCTTTCTAAAGGTTAGGTCTAAGCACACTGTGATAATCCACTCCTTTAATTCCCAAACCGTGGAGGTTGAGGCTCCATCAAGTTAAAGGGCAGTTTTGGCTCTACATAGTGAGACCCAAGATTAGGTATTGTGACTGAGCTGGTGGGTAGAGCAGTACCCCCCCCCCCCATATACTTCCAATAACTTCATATATTGATGTAAATCAACAGATATGGAATTAAAACTATTTGATCTTAACCTTTTCCTTTTGATCTCTTTCTGTTCCAGGCCATGTTACAGGAGCTGAATTTTGGGGCCTATCTGGGTCTTCCAGCTTTTCTGCTGCCACTTAATCAGGAAGATAACACAAATCTAGCCAGAGTTTTGACCAACCACATTCATACTGGCCACCACTCCTCCATGGTATGACAGAGGGGCTTTGTTAAGTACTGGGTCATTTCACTCTGGGTATATATGGTAGATATGAAGTGTCCGTATCATATTCCATCTAAAATAGTATATCGAGAGTTTCAAAACAATATAAAGGGCAATAGTAGATCACTTGTCTTGGATGAGGAGGACTTGGGTTTGATACTCAGCACCACAAACAAAATAAATACCTAGAGAATGTATAATTATTTCCAGTTGAAAGACAAGGCAGATAGTTGCATAAGGAAATTTATAAGGTATTTGAATACAGACATAATCATAATTGGAAAAGGCCTATAAAAGAATTAACTTGAGGTATGGATCCAGATACTCTTAGTTGGGAGAAGCTTTAGGGGAAGCTTTCTGGACCCAGTGAATGGCATTCTAAGAGGGTATCTATTCATACTCAGTTCTGGATGCGGGTCCCTTTGGTGGCACCAGAGGACTTGAGAGATGATATAATTGAGAATGTACCAACTGTACACACAGAAGATTACAGTGGGGAAGAGAAGACATGGATGTGGTAAGTTTCTTTTTGCTGTTATCTTAGGGCAAAGGAATAGGTGAAGGAATATAGGGTGGAACTAGTAGGGAGATCTTCAGTTATGCTGATTGGTGAGCCATATGTATTTGACAGTATTTTTCTGTGTTTGACTCTGGATAGGTGGCACAACTTCCGGACTCTGTGTGACTATAGCAAGAGAATTGCAGTAGGTAAGTCCATGAGGGTCCTGGGATAGGCATGACCTCCAGGAATACAAATCAACTGTATATACTGAGCATTTTACCTTTCAAATGGCTTCTCTTTTTATTTTTATTTTTTATTTTTTTTTGGGTCCGGTTGTGGGGCCTGAACTCTGGGCCTGGGTGCTGTCCCTCAGCTCTTCAGCTCAAGGCTAGTGCTCTACCACTTGAGCCACAGCGCCACTTCCGGCTTTTTTCTTTTTGCTTATATGGTGCTGAGGAATCGAACCCAGGGCCTCAGGCTTGCAAGGCAAGCGCTCTACCACTGAGCCACCTTCCCAGCCCATGGCTTCTCTTTTTAAAAAAATGTTTTTGTTATTATAAAGGTAATATACAGAGGACTTACATAAATCAAATAAAGAGCCCATTTCTTTATTTTTTGGGGTTGGTAGTGATACTTAACTCTGGGCCTGGGTGCTGTCCCTCAGCTCAAGGCTAATGCTTTACCACTTTGAGCCACAGCTCCACTTCTGGTTTTCTGGTAGTTTATTGGAGATAAGAGCCTCATGGATTTTTCTGTCCAAGCAGGCTTTGAACCACCTCAGATCTTAGCCTCCTAAGTAGCTAGTATTACAGATGTGAGCCACAAATGTCCAGCTAAGAGTCCATTTCTTTTGGCAATGTCACCCCTTCCCTTACTCTCTCCGTTTTTCCTTCTCAACCTCCCCCCCCCCTTTTTTTTTTTTTTTTTTATTTTCGTCGGTGTTAGGGTTGGTACTCTGGGCCTGGGCTCTTCAGCTCAAGGTAAGCCTGCTACCATTTGAGCCATAGCACCACTGGTGATTAATTGGAGATGAGTTTTTTGTTGTTGTTGTTGTTTGTTAATCATGGGGCCTGAACTCTGGGCCTGGGCACTGTCCCTTAGCTCTTCAGCTCAAGGCTAGTGTTCTACCACTTGAGCCATAGCACCACTTCCAGCTTTTCTGCTTATATGGTACTGAGGAATGGAACCCAGGGCCTCATACATGCAAGGCAAGCATTCTACCACCGAGCCATCTTCCTAGCCTGAGATAAGGGTCTTGTGGATGTTCCTGCTGGGCTGGCTTTGAACCTCAATCTTCAGAGCTCAGCATCCTGAGTAGCTGGGATTACTGGTGTGAGCCACTGGCACCTGGCTCCTTATTCTTTTTGGAGTGGATGGATACAGCACTTGTACCAGGGCTTTTGCTCTCCCTTGTCCTTTACTGACTATGGCTAGTGATCACTTGAGCTACAACTCCAGTACCAGCTTTTTGCTGATTAATTGAAGATGAGAGATTTGTCTCAGATTTGTCGGCCTGTATTGGCTTTGAATGAAGATCCTCATATCTCAGCCTCCTAAGTAGCTAGGATTATAGGGATGAGCCACTAACTGCCTTGTTCTATTCCCCTTCCTCTCTCCCTTTCTCCCTCTTTCTCTCTTTTTTTTGTACCAGTATAGGAACTTGAACTTATAGCCTGGACATTGTTTCTTAGCTTTTACTGCTCAAAGCTGATGTTTAACCAATTGAGCTATAGCTCCACTACCAACTTTTTCTTTTGTGCCCTTCCTGGGGCCTGAACTCAGGGTTTGAGCTTTCATGCTCAAGACTAGCACTCTACCACTTTGAGCCACAGCTTCACTTCCAGTTTTTTGGTAGTTAATTAGAGATGAGTCTCATGGATTTTTCTGTCCAGCTGGCTTTGAACTATGATTCTCATATCTCAGCATCCTGAGTAGCTAGCATTACAGGTATGAGCCACCAGTGCCTGGCTACTTCCAGATTTTTTGGTGACAAACTGGAGATGAGTCTCTTGGACTTTCTACCTGGGCTGCCTTTGAGATAAGATCCTCAGATATCAGCCTCTTGAGTAGCTAGGATTATAGGCATACTGTCATGTTTTAAGAGAAGAGGAAGGTAGACACTAGTGGCTCATGCCTGTAATCCCTGTGAGACTCTTACCTCCAATTAACCACCAGAAAACCAGAAGTGATGCTGTAGCTCAAGTGGTAGAGAGCTAGCCTTGAGCTGAAGAGCTCAGGGACAGTGCCCAGGCCCACACACAGGCATGACCGACCAAAAAAGAAAAAAAAAGACAGAAGAGGAAACAGATCTTGCATAAAAGAGCAAGGAAGAGCTTCTTGCCTATCAGAGGCTGACAAATTTTTTTTTTTTTTTTATGTAGCTCTTGAAATTGGGGCTGACCTCCCTTCTAATCATGTTATTGATCGTTGGCTTGGGGAGCCCATTAAAGCAGCCATTCTTCCCACCAGCATTTTCTTGACCAACAAGAAAGGATTTCCTGTTCTTTCTAAGATGCATCAGAGGCTGATCTTCCGGCTCCTCAAGGTAAGTGGTAAAGGGTAGTTCAGCTATACTTCTTGACATATTCACATTTATGTTATTTTTCCTGTAGCAGTGATAGCCTTCTTTAGTTTCTGGAGATCAACTTCAGTAGAATTAGGAGTCTTGGGAACAAAAGGAAATGTTCATAGAAGCTCCAGAAACCTTTCTCTTTTTTTTTTTTTTTGGTTGGTCAGGGGCCTGGGCTCTGTCCCTATGCTTTTCAGGTCAAGGCGAGCACCCTACTGCTTGAGCCATGGCTCCACTTCCAGTTTTTTAGTGGTTTATTGAAGAGAAGAATCTCACTGACTTTCCTGCCCTTTCCTGCCTGGGCTGGCTTTGAACTGTGATCCTCAGATCTCAGCCTCCTGAGTAGCTAGGATTACAGGCGTGAGCCACCAGTGCCACCTCTCCAGAAACGTTTCAAAAGGAACTAGATCTCCTAAGAACTTATCTCATATAGGAAAATATTGTGCCGGGCCTTAGTGGCTCACGCCTGTAATCCTAGCTACTCAGGAGGCTGAAAGCCAGTCTGGGCAGGAAAGTCTGTGAGACTTTTTTTTTTGCCAGTCCTGGGGCTTGAACTCAGAGCCTGGGCACTCTCCCTGAGCTTTTGCTCAAGGCTAGCACTCTACCACTTGAGTCACAGTGCCACTTCTGGCCTTTTCTGTTTATATGGTACTAAGGAATTGAACCCAGAACTTCATGCATGCTAGCCAAGCACTCTACCACTAAGCCACATTCTCAGCCCCACTGTGAGACCCTTAGCTACAATTAACCACCAGAAAACTGGAAATGGCACTCTGGCTCAAGTGGTATAGTGCTAGCCTTGAGCTAAAGAGCTCAGGGACAGCACCCAAGCCCAGAGTTCAAACCCTGTGACCAACAAAAAATACCGTAAAGGGGATCCATGTGGCCAGTTGAGCCAGGATGATACCTATTAGCATAAGAGGCCTTTATAGATTTAGTGAAGCCTCATGCTGCCTTTTTTGGTTGGTCTTAAACAACTTGAGAATTGTTGGTTTAGGGCTTTTGACCATAAATCATAATATTCCAGAATCTTCATTTGAAGGCTGTGTCTAATGGCTTAATTTCTCTCCCAGCTAGAAGTGCAGTTCATCATCACTGGTACCAACCACCATTCGGAGAAGGAGTTCTGCTCCTATCTCCAGTATCTGGAATACTTAAGCCAGAACCGCCCTCCACCCAATGCCTATGAACTCTTTGCCAAGGGCTATGAAGACTATCTGCAGTCCCCACTGCAGGTAGGTTTGGAATACACAAACAGGCAGGAGGCAGGGTTGGAAATGTCCCTGGAAAATGGGTGGCCTAAAATCCAGCCAAAGCTCAGGAGGCAGTGGGAAGTTTTTGATGTGGTACATTCCCTCTTGCCAGAAACTGGCAAATTAATTGTCCTTTTCTCTCATTCACCAGCCACTGATGGACAATCTAGAATCTCAGACATATGAAGTGTTTGAAAAGGACCCCATCAAATACTCTCAGTACCAGCAGGTACAGTGTTCAGCCCAGGTTGGGAAAGAATAAGGCCAGGATGACCTCTAAAAGGAAGGGATTAGACTCAATGAGATCTTCTCTCCTTCTATCAGGCTATCTATAAATGTCTGCTAGACCGGGTGGCAGAAGAAGAAAAGGACACCAATGTTCAGTGAGTGCTTTCCCTACAATCCCAGGAACTTGGAACTTGGATTCCTACTTCTCTATATACCACATCTGCTTTACCACTCCCTCCTTGTTTTTATGCCAGTACTGGGCTTGAACTCAGGGTATGGGGGCTGTCCCTTGGCTTTTGCATTCAAGGCTAGTGCTCTACTATTTGAGCTAAAGCTCCACTTCCAGCCTTTTGGTGGTTAACTGGAAACTTTCCTGCCTAGCCTAGCTTTGAAGGGTGATCCTCAGATCTTGGTCTCCTAAGTAACTAGGATTTTAAGCGTAAGCCTCATGCACTGGCAACTCTCTTTCCCTTTCATAGGGTACTGATGGTGCTAGGAGCAGGCCGGGGACCCTTAGTAAATGCTTCCCTTCGAGCAGCCAAGCAAGCTGACCGACGAATAAAACTGTATGCTGTGGAAAAAAATCCAAATGCTGTGGTGACGTGAGTAGCAACCTGCTTGCTGGGAAGTGTGTTCCTGTTGTCAGTTTTCTTTAACCTCTTACCTCTGTCATCTTTGTTTCAGGCTAGAGAACTGGCAGTTTGAAGAATGGGGAAGCCAAGTGACAGTAGTTTCATCAGACATGCGGGAATGGGTAGCTCCAGAAAAAGCAGACATCATTGTCAGTGAGCTTCTGGGCTCCTTTGCTGACAATGAACTGTCACCTGAGTGCCTGGATGGAGCACAGCACTTCCTGAAAGGTGCCTCTAGCTTGATGGGTGATGGTGGGTGGGTTTGTGGGAAGTGGTTAGACTTGGAGCAGATGAAATGATTGAGAGTTACTGCTTATTGCAGTAGCAAATAAAGTCAGATTTCCAAACAGTCTGTAGACTAAAAGGAATGAACTAGAATAGAGATTTGTGTGTGTGTATGTGTGTGTATATGTGTGTGTGCTGGTACTGGAACTTGAACTCAGGGCCTTGCTCTTTCACTTGTCTTTTTTCACTCAAGTCTGGTGCTCTATCACTTGAGCCACAGCTCCACTTCCAGATTTTTGCTTGTTAATTGGAGATAAGAGTCTCACAGACTTTTCTGCCCAGGCTGGCTTTGCACCGCGATCCTCAGATCTCAGCCTCCTGAGTAGCTAGGATTACAGGCGTGAGCCACCAGCGCCTGGCGGTGACCCAGGACCATCAGAGTAGAATACAATCATGCAGTGCATAATGCTGTTTCCATCGACAGTGGACTGCATATATCAGGTAGTCTCATAAGATTATGTCTCCTAATGACATCATAGCCATGTTAGTGTTGAGGACATCATACCATGTTCATACAATAACAAAATCATTAAACAACATACATCTTGAAACTTGTTCTGTCATTAAGCAGCACATGACTGTGTGTTAGGTTCCTTCAGTCTTAATCTTTGTGACTAAATTAACTTAGAAGTGGATCTCCCATGGCCACAGTTGGAAGCAGGCCAGCCTAGGAATATACCATTGACCTGCCTCTTCCTGCCATGCCCATGCCAACCGTGGCCTGTTTTGTGGTGGAAGGTTCAAGCCTTTGGTGATTGCAAACAGGCCACTTTCTCTCCTCTGGGAACTAATTTGACTTTCTTGTTGTTCAGATGATGGTGTGAGCATCCCTGGAGAGTACACCTCCTTCCTGGCTCCAATCTCTTCTTCCAAGTTATACAATGAGGTCCGAGCTTGTCGGGAAAAGGACCGTGACCCTGAGGTAAAGTGATAACTTGTCTTCTGAAAGGAATTGATGCTCTTTACTTCTTGTTGTTTTCTTCCACTAGAGAAGGTGAAGAAGTGAAGGGGAAGTTGGGGAAAGTGGCTGACGTGAAACTTTTTTTGTTGTTGGTCATGGGGCTTGAACTCTGGGCCTGGGCACTGTCCCTCAGCTCTTCAGCTCAAGGCTAGCACTCTATATACTTGAGCCATAGCGCCACTTCCAGTTTTCTGAGCAGTTTATTGGAGATAAGAGTTGCATGGCCTTTCCTGCCCAGGCTGGCTTTGAACCGCGATCTTCAGATCTCAGCCTCCTGAGTAGCAAGGATTACAGATGTGAGCCACCAGTGCCTGGGTTGAAACAATGTTTTTATGTGTCCCTAAGATTTGAACTTTACTTGGGGAAATAGGTGTCTCCTGTCTGCCTTCTCCAGCTCTTGCTTTCTCAATCTGGACAGGCCCAGTTTGAAATGCCTTATGTGGTACGTCTGCACAACTTCCACCAGCTGTCTGCACCCCAGCCTTGCTTTACCTTCAGCCATCCCAACAGAGGTAGGTTCCTGCGTAGTTGTCCTCTGACTGGAAGGGTCTTTACCTTTTGGATCTTGTTTGTGGTTTACCAAGTTGTCAAGGGTATATCTGGCCTCTGATCACCCAACTGATTCTTTACTGACAGATCCTGTGATTGACAACAACCGCTACTGTACCTTGGAATTTCCTGTGGAGGTGAACACAGTGCTGCATGGCTTTGCAGGCTACTTTGAGACTGTGCTTTATCAGGACATCACTTTGAGTGAGTATCTGGGTTAGTGTATGGTGATGGTGGAGAGTGTGCTCCCTTGGCAGTCTGTATACATGTCTCATTTAAATTCATGGAGAGCCCCAGGATGAATGAAGGCCTTTGATTACTTTTTTCTGTGATCACAGAAGAGACCTTTGTCAACCAAGGCAAGATTTTGATTTCTTAAATTATTTTTTTCTACACAGGTATCCGTCCAGAGACTCACTCCCCTGGAATGTTTTCATGGTTTCCTATCCTCTTCCCTATTAAGGTAGGAGTCACTTTTAAGATTGTAGATTAAAGCTGGATGCTGATAGCTCACTCCTGTAACCCTTCCTACTCAGGAAGCTAAGATCTGAGAATTGAGGATTAGAGCCAGCATGCAGACAAATCCTCATGGCTGTTAGCTATAATTAACCAGCAAAAAGCTGGAACTAGAGGCATGACTCAAATGGTAGCATACCAGCCATGAAGGAAAAGTTGAGTGACAGCAAAGGGCCTTAAATTCAAACCTTAATATTAGCACACACAAAACAACCTGTGCCATTAGTGTTTTAGCCTTTTCCCTCTCCCAGGATTGCTGGCTAGGACTAACATTCTGCTGCTCTCACATGGCTTTGGATCTGGTTTTAGGTGTTGGGATTAGCTGTAGTGGCCTTGTATTTGGCCTTCCCACATCTGTGGCTTAACCCCTATGCCCTTTGTCTTCCTAGAGCAAGAACGATCTTTTAGAAACGAAACTGAACACAGCACTTTACTGTTTAAAACTCATTGAGTACTTTCCTACGGCTTTTTTCTTTTTTTTTTTTTCCCCTTTGGTCATGTGGCTTGAACTCTGGGCTTAGATGCTGTCCCTGAGCTCTTCAGCTCAAGGTGAGCGCTCTACCACTTGAGCTGCAGCATCACTTCCGGTTTTCTGGTGGTTAATTGGAAATAAGAGTCTCATGGACTTTCTTGCCCAGGCTGGATTTGAACCGTGATCCTCAGATCTCAGCCTCCTGAGTAGCTAGGATAACAGGCATGAGCCACTGGTGCCCAGCTCCCTCTGCCTTTTTACATCAGAATCCAGAACGTTGCTTATTAGAGATAGTATGATCTGATTTTCCAGTTTTTCCAGCTGCTGTTCGGTGGCTTCCATTGCCTTTTTTTTCTTGGTCGGTCGTGGGCTTGAACTCTGGGCCTGAGTGCTGTCCCTCAGCTCTTCAGCTCAAGGCTAACATTCTACCACTTGAGCTACAGCACCACTTCCGGTTTTCTGGTGGTTTATTGGAGATAAGAGTTTCACAGACTTGGGCTGGGAAGGTGGCTCAGTGGTAGAGTGCTTGCCTTGCATGCATGAGACCCTGGGTTCGATTCTTCAGCACCACATAAGCAGAAAAAGCCAGAAGTGGTGCTGTGGCTCAAGTGGTAGAGGGCTAACCTTGAGCTGAAGAGCTGAGGGACAGTGCCCAGGCCCAGAGTTCAGGCCCACAACTGACCAAAAAAAAAAAAAAAAAAGAGTTTCACAGACTTTCCTGCCCGAGCTGGCTTTGAACTGCTGCTGGCGGTGGCTTCTTATCTCTTCTACCTGCAGATCCTTTTTTGGGTATATGGTCAGGGACCAGGGAACTAAGACTTGAATTCAGGGTTTCACAGCTCAACGCTATACTTGAGCATACTTGAGCCATACGTCTACTTGTGACTTTTTGGTGGTTAATTGGAGTGTCTCACAGATATCTGCCCAGGCTGGCTTTGAACCGTAAACTTTAGATCTCAGCCTCCTGATTACAGGGTTACAGGTGTGAGCCACCAGTGCCTAGAGCCTTTGTTTAAAAAAACAAAAAAGTTACTTTTATGAGCTTATATGAGTTATTTACAGGGGATTTTGTTAATATATTCCCACCTATGTTTAAATATATTCTAGTCAGTCTCACCCTACCCCATTCTTTTCCCTGTTTCCCCTTCCCAAAACAATTTCAACAGGTTTCATATTTTCATAGTTGTAAATAACCTATTTAAGCCATATTAACTCTCATTTCTCCTAGTAACAGATCTTTTTGAACCATTTCTATTGTCAGATAAACTTTACTTGACCTCCCCTAAGCTTAGTCAGCTTTCTCTTCTATGGGTGCCTTCATAGTACCCTGTACACCTTCACAGCATTCATTTAACCTTGTTTGTTCAATATCTGTCTGATTATGCCTTATTCTGTGACTTGATAGTTTTATGGGGACTAGAACAGTCTTGTGTTTGTCATTTAATCTTCATAACTAAAGCCAAGCATTGTGGCTTATTCCTATAATTCTGTACTTGGGAGGCAGAGACCAGGAAGATCATTGAAGGCCAAGGCAGGAAAAAAATTCAAGAGACCTCCATCTCAACCAGTAAAAAGCTGGGCACTATGTTGCTGTCATCCAACTACACAGAAAGGGCAGATAAGGAGGATCACTGTCCAGGCAAGCCCCAGTAAAAAGCAAAACTCTATTTGAAAAATAAGCAAAAAGGGCCAGAGGCATGCATCAAGTAATAAAGTGCCTGCCTATTAAGCTGAAGGCCATAATTCAAACCATAGTACTGTAAAATCCAAAAACAACTCCACGCCTACCCTAATATATTCATATACTGAACCTACCTCTTTTTCTTCCTATAGCAGCCCATTACTGTGCGGGAAGGCCAGACCATCTGTGTGCGTTTCTGGCGATGCAGCAATTCCAAGAAGGTGTGGTATGAGTGGGCAGTGACAGCACCAGTCTGTTCTGCTATTCACAACCCCACAGGCCGCTCTTATACCATTGGCCTCTAGTACTTCCCACAGTGAATATCTAGAGCCTTGGAAGCAGCTTCAGGTTCTGGTCCTATAGCACAGAAAGTGCCATGTGTCTCTTGGTGCAGTACATTTGTGATTTCTTCACTCTTCAGAGAGGAACATTTCAGTCTGAATTCCTACCTTACATCAAGGTATTCAAGGGATAAAAATTAATTGCAGGGTTCAGCCCACTAATCTGTGAAGTCCTCAGGCCCAGAGGACAAGGACTTAGTGCTGGATCTGAATCTACATCATTGGGAGTTCAGCCTCAAGAGCTCTGTGGAATAGCCCTCAGAACATGTGATTGAGCAAACTTTTGGCCTTTTCCTTCTCTGTGCTTGTTTTGATGGATTTGTGTAAGAAGGAAACAAATAAAATGAAGTTGTAGCCCTTTATTGCTCTCCTCCTTTTCTGTTACCTGACTGTTTTGTTTGTGTTTTTGTCTGTCATGGGGCCTGAACTCTAGGCCTGGGCACTGTCCCTCAGCTCTTCAGCTCAAGGCTAGCGCTCTACCACTTGAGCCACAGCGCCACTTCCGGTGGTGCTTATGTGGTGCTGAGGAATGGAACCCAGGGCCTCATGCATGCAAGGCAAGCACTCTACCATTGAGCCACCTTCCCAGCCCCGTTAACTGATTGTTTTCCTGTACCTCCCTTAGATTCAGGTATATTCAGGTCTGTGCCCTTATCCTATCAAAAATTAAAAAGGGCTGAACTCTAATTCTTCAGTGAATGATGGGTTCTAGTGGGTTACACCTATAATCCTTGCTATTCTAGAAGCTGAGATCTGTGGATCACAGCAAATCCAATCTGAGCAGACAAATCTAAGCATTGTCTTCAGTTAACTACCAAATAGCCATAAGTAGAGATGTAACTCAAGTTGTCAGAGTGCCATCCTTAGGCAAAAAAGGCTAGAAAAGCTGAGTGAGAGCAATAGACATTGAGTTTAAGCCCCAGTACTAGAGGGGGGCAGGGAAACCACCCTGAAAGTTGAAGCCCAGTGGTAGAACACAAGCCTCCCAACTATGCATGAAGCCCTTGCTCCCATCCCCAGTGCCATACACACATAAAAGTTGAATTGTAACTCTTGAACAACTGTTTATGGTTTTTCTGATCAGCCCACTACCACTTATGAGTAGACTTTTTTTTTAATTGGTTGTGGGACCTGAACTCTGGCCCTGGGCACCATCCCTCCTCAGCTCTAGAGCTCAAGGCTAGTGCTCTACCGCTTGAGCCATAGCGCCACTTCCGGCTTTTTCTGCTTATGTGGTGCTGAGGAATGGAACCCAGGGCCTCATGTATGCAAGGCAGCAAGCACTCTACCACTGAGCCACCTTCCCAGCCCCATGAGTAGACTTCACCCTGAAGAAAATGAAGCTTCATTTCCTAAGATACTGCACTGACACTTCCATTTATTTCCTCACAGGAGAGAAAGCCATCTAGGCATCTTTGATAAGAAGCTATCAATTTTTGATAAAATCACAGGGTAAGCTATGTGCCAGTTGCTCAGGCTTATAATCCTAGCCACTCAGGAGGCAGAGATCTAAATAACTCAGTTGGAAGCTAGCCCTGACAGAAACAGCTGAAACTCAATCTTCATTTAACTAGTAGAAAGATAAGCGGAGATGTGTCTCAAGTGGTAGATCACCAACCCCGAGTGGATAAGGGACAGTGCCCAGGCCCTAAGTTCAAGCCCCAGTACTGGCACACACAGAAAGATCAGTGTTAATAGTTTGTGGTCCTAAGATAATAAGTCATTTTCCATTTTACAGAAAGGAAATTTGAAATCTATACAATGTGTATGTATGCAACTCAGAACGAACTCAGGACTGCAAAGTTATAATCTACTTTTTTTTTTTTTTTTTGTCGGTCATGGGGCTTGAACTCAGCCTGGGTGCTGTCCCTCAGCTCTTCAGCTCAAGGCGAGCAGTCTAATGCTTGAGCCACAGCACCACTTCCGGGTTTCAAATGATTTATTGGAGATAGTCTCACGGTCTTACCTGACCTGGCTGGTTTTGAACCATGATCCTCAGATCTCAGCCTCCTGAGTGGCTAGAATTACAGGCATGAGCCACCTGCGCCTGGTTATAATCTGCTACATTTGGGGTAGCTATATTAGGCAACAAATCTCTGGGGTCTTGGAAGCCCTAAGGAAAAGAGGATGGATACTAGTTCTTTTGGGTTAGAGAGCAAAGTACTCTGTAACATAAAAATCACTTGAGAAACTGTCTGAACTTTATGCTTGGGTGGGAGACATGAATTGGAACGGAACCTGTGGGACCGGGTAGGGTGGCAGACATCAGCGGCAAGACTGCATTTCTCGGCTCTAATAATGAGGACAGGCCGTGGTGGGCACTGTTGGAGAGGTAGCGCGCTTCCTAGGCGCGAATCAGTGCCGCTGCTTTCCGCAAAGCTGTGCCAGAGAAGAGTTGCCCGGCTCAGCAAACCCGAGTAGGGAGAGCCAAGGACATTGTTGGGCCTTCCTTGTTGGCTCCGCCCATCTCTTCAGCCAGGTAAGGCTCCTAGGGGACCCGTGAGCCCGCCACTTGTTCTTGAGCCACTTTCTCCCGCCTTCTGCGAGTGGCCGGCCGCTACCAAAAGACACTATCACTTTCCTGGAGTCTCTGAGAAATTAACCAATCGCTTGCCAGTTGATGGTTGCTAAGGAACACGAGATTGACCCCGCCCATACTTGGCATTTTATCCAATGAGAACCTGTATTTTGGACTGCTGCGGCGAAAGCAGTGAGATCAAGCGTTTAAGTGTTCTGACGCATGCGCAGATAGCGGAAGGTTTTGGAAGATAGCGGAGGGGCCGCCATTTTGCGGGAAGAGAGGAAGGTCTGGCTGCAGAGCTGCTTTTCCTGCTGAAATTACAGGAACTAACCAAGCTTCGCGTCCCCAAACACTCAAAGGAACGGAGAGAACCGGGACCCCCTACGGGGACCCGGAACTGGTGAGAAACCCCGAAACTTGGTCCCCCTGGTACGTCACCTATGTGACGTTTCTACTCGGCGCCTCCCCCTGACGTCACAGGTAGACCTTGGCGTCAGAGCGGAAGCGGGCAAGTTCTTACAATTAAGCAAAAAAGAAACTTAAAAAAATCTCTATTTCGTCCTGGACGCGTTTACTACTCAGATGATGTCGGCATAGTGGTGTTTATACCCTTTACTAAGAGACGGCTTCAAACGTCCTGACTGAACTGCGTGCCGGGGCCTCGGAACTTCCGGGCAGCCGGCGCCGGCGAGGGCGCTGCGGCCCTCCGCATTCAGGGAAGATACGGAGTTTTTTGTTTTGTTTTTGTTTTTTAGCGATTCGTGCCACCACTCGAAGAGCGGTGAAGGAATTGAGACTCTTTCCTCCGTTCCCAGTCTTTGGAAACTCAAGTTCACTATGTGTTTGCTGATAGGAGCTAACTTTTTTTTTTTTTTTTTTTTTGGTGCTGGTTTTGGGGCTTCAATTCAGGTCTTGGGCTCTTTCTCTTAAGCCAGTGCTCTACCACTTGAGCTACAGCTCCACTTGCAGCTTTTTGCTTCTGAATTGGAGATAAGAGCCTCATGGACTTAAATGCCTGGATTGGCTTTGAACCAGGAACCTCAGATTTCAGCCTTCTGCGTAGCTAGGATTACAGGCATGAGCCACCCAAGCCCGGTTAGAGTTTTTTTTGTTTTTGTTTTTTGGTCGGTCGTGGGGCTTGAACCCTGGACCTGGGCACTGCCTCTGAGCTCAAGGCGAGTGCTCTACCACATGAGCCACAGCACCACATCTGGCGTTCTGGTGGTTAATTGGAGATAGTCTAACGGACTTTACTGCCTGAGCTGGCTCTGAACCGCGATCCTCAGATCTCAGCCTCCTGAGTAGCTAGGATTACAGGTGTGAGCCACCAGCGTCCGGCTAGGGTTAGAGTTTTTAACTCCCTCCCTCCTTGCCCCCCCTCCTCCCTAGTCCTGGGGCTGAACTCTAAGCCTGGACGCTGTTCCAGAGCTCTCTACCACTTGAGCTACAGCCGCAGTTACGGCTTTTTTTTTTTTTTGTCGGTCGTGGATCCTGAACTCTGGGCCTGGGCACTGTCCCTCAGCTCTTCAGCTCAAAGCTAGCACTTTACCACTTGAGCCACAGCGCCACTTCCAGCCTTTTCTGTTTATGTGGTGCTGAAAATTGAACCCAGGGCCTCATGCATGCAAGGCGAGCACTCTACCACTGAGCCACCTTCCCAGCCCACTTAGGCTTTTTTGAGCATTTTATTGGAGATAAAAGAGTCTCACGGAGTTTCCTGCCTGGGCTGACTTTGAACCATAATCCTCAGATCTCAGCCTCCTGAATAGCTAGGATTATAATCATGAGCCACTGGTGCCCAGCAGCTTTAAACTTTTTGACCACAGGTCCTGTAGGCATATGGTTAGTTCAGATGGGAGGATTGAATACCAGGGTTGTAGATTTTGTAGAGATTATGCCAATTAGTTACTTATAAGACTTGTTTTTGTTTTTGGGACAAAGGTCTCACTATATATCCTAGACTGCCCTAGAGCTAGCCAAGAGGCTGAGGAGAGTTCAAGCCTTGGGCTACATAGCTGCTCCACAACAGTCTGGGATGCATAGTGTGGCCTGTGCCAGCACCTCTGGGTATGTAATGATCATTGGCTCATTACACAGTATTGGTAAATGTTGTGGGTATTTTTGTTATTGTTTTTGTCATGGGGCTTGAACTCTAGGCTGGGGCACTGTCCCTGAGCATTCCTATTTGGCTAGTGCTCTACCACTTTGAGCCACAGCCCCACTTCCAATTTCCTGGTGGTTAATTGGAGGTAAAAGTCTTACAAACTTTCCAGCCCAGGCTGGCTTTGAACTGAAAGCCTCAGATCTCAGCCTCTTGAGTAGCTAGGATTACAGTAGGGAGCCATCAGTGCCCAGTTTGTAGGGTGTTTTTTTGGAGACAGGAGGAGGTATTGGGGACCGAACCCAGGATCTCCTACATGATAAGAAAGCATTCTACCCCTTGAGCCAGCCCATGGCTCAATGTTTCCCCCTTGTTTATTGTTTCAGTTTTTAATCAAGCTGCCTACATTTTGGAGGTGTTTTGCTTAGCTCAGTGACTTCATCTGATGGGCCTACCATCACCCATGGATTCTAGCACTTTGTGAATTCCTTCTGAACTGTTTTAATAATGGTTTTAAAGCACTCCTCTGCCCCTTTAGCAATGAGATCAGTGTTCTTGTTTGTGTTTTATCTGTTCGTCATGACTTTGGTTCTGTAGTTTTCAGAGCAGAGATGGAAGAATATACTATAGTGTGTATGTTGATGGAGTTGAATGGAGTTGACTTAGTGCGCACAAAGAACTTGAAAAGTATCAACCTTTCAGAGTTACCTAGGCAAGAAACAGGAGACCCTATATGAAAAATAAAGAAAGACTGGAGGTGTGATAGAGTGTCTACCTAGAAAGCAGGAAGCTCTGAGTTCAGGGCCACACATACAAACATGAAAATGCACTACTGCTTTTTAGGACACTAGAAAGATGCAGTTAAACCCAGTGAAATTACCAGTTACAAATTGTCACACATTGCCTAATGATGTTCTTAGAAATGTATTTGCCAGATTCCTCATTTTTGGAATATTATAGTGTGCTTAAAATAGCTACTATATCACTACTATATCTTTTTTTTTTTTTTAATTGGTTATGGGGTTTGAACTCAGGGCCTGGGTGCTTAGTGGTACAGTGCTTGTCTAGCATGCTGGAAGCACTTGGTTCGATTCCTCAGTATCACATACACAGGAAAAGCCAGAAGTGGTGCTGTGGCTCAAGTGGTAGAGCGCTAGCCTTGAGCCAAAAAAGCTCAAGGACAGCGCCCACGCCGTGACTGGGGGAGGGGGAAGGAAGAGTCTCACAGCCTTTCCTTCCTGGGCTGTCTTTGAACCTCAATCCTCAGGTATCAACCTCCTGAGTAGCTAGGATTACAGTCCAGATAAATGACAGTCTCATAGGATCACTGTTATATGTTGTCCATAGTTGACAGAACTGTCATGTGTTGCCTAACTTTGTGCTTTAATAGGTTTGTTCATGATTGAGTGAAAATTTCATATATATAGAATTCATTTTTAGAGGGTTGTTGGCTTCAGTAGAAGTTTTTTGTTTGCTTGCTTGCTTTAGTTTTTATTTTTGTTGGTCATGGGGCTTGAACTCGGCCTGAGCGCTGTCCCTGAGCTATTTTGTTCTACCACTTTGAGTCACTTCTCTACTTCTAGTTTTCTGGTGGTTAACTGGAGATAAGAATTTCACAGACTTTCCTGCCTAGGCTGGCTCTGAACTGCAATCCTCAGATCTCAGCCTTCTGAGTAGCTAGGATTAGGTATGAACCACCAGTGTCTGGCTTTAGTTATTTTTTTTTTTTTCTGATAAGGTCTTAACTTTTCTTTTCTTTTTTGGAGCTGCTCTCAGATTATAGTACTCCCACCCATGCTTCTTACTGGGTTTATAGGCTTATACCACCACATTCAGCTTGTTGGTTGAGATGTCATTTTTTCCCTGGCCTGGCCTTCAACAGCTGTCTTCCCAGTCTTCATCTCCCAGTAGCTAGGAGTATAGGCATAAACCACCACACAGAGCTCTCTGTTTTGGTGTTGGGGATTAAACCAGGACCTCGTGGCATACTACAAGCACACTCAATTACTCTGTAGCTCCTTTTTTTTTTTTTTTTAATTGTGAAAATACCGTACAGAGGGGTTACAATTACATGGGCAAGGTAATCAGTACATTTCTTTTCAAGCATTGTTGCCTCCTCCTTTGTTTCCCCTTCCCATCTCCACCCCCCCCCCCCCCAGCTTCTTAAGTGAAACTTCTCAGTGTGTGTGTATGAGAGAGAGAGAAGGAATTACCTTTACCCTGTAGTGGCTCTACTCAGCAAGGAGAAATTCTTGAGAGAGAGAGAGTGTGTGTGTGTATACATACATATATATATATAGAGAGAGAGAGAGCGAGCGAGCGAGCACAATTTCAAAGGACTTTTCACCCCAGGCTGGCTTGGAACTTAGATCCTCAGATCTCAGACTCCTGAGTAGACAGAATTATAGGCCACCAGCACCTGGATAATTTGTCTTTTTTTGGGTTGATACTAGGGCTTGAACTCAGGGCCTGAGTGCTGATCTTTGGATTTTGGATTTTTTTTTTTTTTTTTGCTCAAAAATGGTCTACCACTTGAGCCCAGCTCCACTTCCAGCTTTTTTTACTAGTTAACTGGAGATAAGAGTCTCACAGAGGGGCTGGGAAGGTGGCTCAGTGGTAGAGCGCTTGCCTTGCATGCATGAGGCTGTGGGTTCCATTCCTCAGCACCACATAAGTAAAAAGAAAAAAGCTGGAAGTGGCGCTGTGGCTCAAGTGGTAGAGCGCTAGCCTTGAGCCGAAGAGCTGAGGGACAGTGCCCAGACCCAGAGTTCAGGCCCCACGACCAGACCCAAAAAAAAAAAAAAAAAGGAGTCTCACAGACTTTCTTGACCCAGCTGGATTCCAATCCTGTTCCTCAGATCTCAGCTTCCTGTATAACTAGGATTACAGTTATGAGCCACTGGCACCTGGCATTATCTTCGTCGTCATTATTTTTTTTTTCAGTCCTGGGTCTTGAACTCAGGGCCTGAGCACTGAGCCTTTCTGTGCTCAAGGCTAGCTCTCTATCACTTGAGCCACAACGCCACTTCTGGCTTTATCTGTTTATGTGGTACTGAGGAATCGAACCCAGGGTTTCATGAATACTAGGCAAACACTACGACTAAGCCACATTTCCAGCCCTGACATAATTATTTTTATATTTTTATTTATTTATGGTTTTTGAGACAGAGTCTTGCTATATAGCCCAAACTTGCCTTGAACTTGTGATCCTCCTGCCTCAGTCTTTTATTGGTATTTACTGCTATTACAGATGTACGCTATTACTTGCAGCCTACTTTGTATATTTTCTAGCATTTTTGAGTTATTTGTAATTGGTATAAAACTATAAGGAGTGCAATTTGAAGTGTTTTGATATGTGTCAACACCCACAAAATGATTACTTTCAAAGGTTTTTGTACCCTCTTAAAATCCCTTTGTGTGTGTGTGTGTGTGTGTGTGTGTGTGTGTGTGTCTCTCTCTCTCTCGGTCGTGGGTCCTGAACTCTGGGCCTGGGCACTGTTTCTCAGCTCTTCAGCTCAAGGCTAGCGCTCTACCACTTGAGCCACAGCGCCACTGCCGGCTTTTTACTTTTTGCTTATGTGGTGCTGTGGAATCGAACCCAGGGCCTCAGGCATGTAAGGCAAGCACTCTACCACCTTCCCAGCCCCCTCACTTGGCTTTTTACACTCATGGCTTATGCTTTACCACTTGAACCATGCTTCTAGCCCAGTTTTTTTTTTCTGGATAATTGGAGATAGTTTCTGCCCTGGCTGGTTTGATTCTCATATCTTAGCCTCTTATGTGTATTATAGCCATGAGCCACCAGAACCTAGCTTGATCTGCTTTTTGTAACAATAGATTAGTTTGGGTCTTCTACAATTTTATATTAACCTAGCATTATTTTTTTTCTTTCCTTTTCTTTCCTCTTTTCCTTTCCTTTTTGTTTTTTTGTTTTTGTTTTTTTGTTTATGTGGTACTGAGGAATCAAACTCAGGGCTTCATGCATGCTAGGCAAGCACTCTACCACTAAGACACATTCCCAGCCCCTCTTTCTTTCTTTCTTTTCTTTCTTTCTTTCTCTTTCTTTCTTTCTTTCTTTCTTTCTTTCTTTCTTTCTTTCTTTCTTTCTTTCTTTCTTTCTTTTCTTTCTTTTCTCTCTCCCTCCCTCCCTCCCTCCCTCCCTCCCTCCCTCCCTCCCTCCCTCCCTCCCTCCCTCCCTCCCTTCTTTCTTTCTTTCTTTCTTTCTTTCTTTCTTTCTTTCTTTCTTTCTTTCTTTCTTTCTTTCTTTCTTTCTTTCTTTCTTTCTTTCTTTCTTTCTTTCTTCTGGTTGAGGCTAGTACTACTCTACCACTTGAGCCGCACCTTGATTTCTGGCTTTGTTGTTGTTATAAAGGGATGTACAGAGGGATTACAGTTACATAAGTCAGATAAAGAGTGCATTTCTTTTTGGATAATGTCACCCCTTCCCTCACACTCTCTGCCTTTCTCTCTACTTCTGACTTTTTTTTGTCGGTCATGGGGCCTGAACTCTGGGCCTGGGCGCTGTTCCTCAGCTCTTCAGCTCAAGACAATCGCTCTACCACTACTAGAGCCACTTCCCGCTTTTTCTGCTTATGTGGTGCTGAGGAATGGAATCCAGGCCCTCATGCATGTGATGCAAGCACTCCACCACTGAGCCACCTTCCCAGCCCCTACTTCTGACTTTTTTGTGATTAATTGGAGATAAGAGTTACAGACTTTCCTTCCTGGGCTAGCTTTGAACCTCACTTCTCAGATCCTAGCCTTCTGATTATAGGATTCTGAGCTAGGATTATAGATGTGAGCTACCAGTTTCTGAGCTAGGATTATAGATGTGAGCTACCAGTGCCCCCTCTCCCTCTCTCCTCTCACTCTTTCTCTTTCTCTCGCTCTGGCTCTGGCTCTCATTTATTTTGAGATCCAAATTAGCCTCAAATTCCTGTCTTTGTCTCCTGATTGCTGGGATATTAAGTGTGTGCCCATGATGCCTGCTGGTCTGGTTTCTTTAATTCAGTATAATTATTTTGGGATTCGTCCATGTTGTATTGATAATTCCACCCCAACAATTTTTTTGTTTTTTGTTTTTGTCAGTTGTGGGACTTGAACTCAGGGACTGGATGCTGTCCCTTAGCTTTTATGTTCTAGGTACTAATATCATTTTGATCCATAGCACCACCTCTGGTTTTGTGGTGGTTAATTGGAGGTAAGAGGGGCTGGGAAGGTGGCTCAGTGGTAGAGTGCTTGCCTTGCATGCATGAGGCCCTGGGTTCCATTCCTCAGCACCACATAAGCAGAAAAAGCCAGAAGTGGTGCTGTGGCTCAAGTGGTAGAGTGCTTGCCTTCAGCTGAAGAGCTGAGGGACAGTACCCATGCCCAGAGTTCAGGCCCCACACTGACAAAAAAAAAAAAAAAAGTTGGAGATAATTGTCTTACAACCTTTCCTTCCCTGGTTGGCTTTGAACCTTGATCCTCAGATCTCAGCTTCCTGTGTAGCTAGGATTATAGACCCAAGAAACAAGTGCCTGGCTCTCCACCCAGTTTTTTGTTTGTTTCTTTCTTTAATATTAATGGTCTTGTTTAGTATCTTTTGATATTCTTATTTGACAGATCTGTGACTGGCAGCCTGAGGGAATGTAATTGCTAGATGCAAAGGCTTGAGGAAGAATAGTTGTACCCTGTCTGCCAGACAGTTAAGCCTGTCTTAATGTACTATTTCTGAGTTACCTAAATTCTAGTTGGTACTGGACAAAAAATAGTGATGAGCATTAAGGCCTTAGTGGTGAGGCACTAATTATTGGTGTTGGGACTATGTGAGGGAAGAATTTAAGTCAATTTGCATCATTCTGTTGTTAGCTTTGTCTGACTTCTGATAGTCTTGCATCTTTACCTTTTTACTGCAAATATTATTTAAGCAACTTACTCAGAATTTTCAACAGTAGAATGTGTGTCTAGTGTTCCCTTGTAAAGTGAATAGTAGTACCAAGTTTTGAGTACCAACGTTTTCTCTTTATAGGATAAAGGTGTGTACTATATTTTCTCTCTTCTTAGGTATTAAGTTTCATTCTAGGCCCCTGACCAATTTAGTCACAAAGCAAAACTAGCTCAGATCTCTAAGGTACAAAAGTAAAGCTAGCATAAACAACTGCTGGCAAAATCCTTTAGTTCAAAAAACAGAACCATTTGTTTCTTGGAGGGGGGAGGGAGTGTGGTACTGGAAGGGGAGGAAAAATAAAAATCAGGTTCTTATGTATCAATATCCTCTCCTCAGATCTGACACGATGGCATCTGATGACTTTGATATCGTGATTGAGGCCATGCTGGAAGCTCCCTATAAAAAAGAGGAGGTAATTTTCCCCACCTCACTACTGGAATTGGGTTAATAAGAAAGCAGTTGTGGGTCATCAGTTTGAACACTTTGTGAATCCTTTTTCCCTGTTTATTTTATGTTCAGTGATATTCCTAAAAGATTTACTAAGTTTCCTTGAGGAGCCTGTATTCAAGGACCATAATTTTGGGGTTGGGAAGGTGGCTCAGTGGTAGAGCGCATGCCTTGCATGCCAGAGGCCCTGGGTTTGATTCCTCAGCACCACATAAGCAAAAAAAAAAAAAAGCCGGAAGTGGCACTGTGGCTCAAGTGGTAGAGTGCTAGCCTTGAGCTGAAGAGCTAAGGGACAGCGCCCAGGCCCAGAGTTCAGGCCCCATGACTGGACTCAAAAAAACAAATCAAGGACCATAATTTTAACAAGGACCTGACAACCAAGGGTGGGCAAAATATGGTGGATAACATGTGGTTTGCTAATAACTCTCAGGGATAGTAGAAAGTTTACCTCAGACAGCCTCCCTTTCTTTCTTTCCTGGAAAAAAATTCAGTGGAACAGATGACAGGTAGCTGATGTTTGACATCAAAGTCTGTCACCCTAATTTCTTCCTTTTGAGTAGTTTCCTTGCTTCCTCTGTTACTCCCTTTGTTAGGAGACCTGGTATCCAAAAACTGACTGGCTAATTTAGAGCTTTGATTTCTTGTCCACCTTCATTCTTTTTTGCCCAATGGGATCTGTGTGTCTGCCTTATACCTTGTGACATTTTCCTGGTGAACTCCTCAGGATGAGCAGCAAAGCAAAGAGGTTAAGAAGGACAGTCCTAGCAATACCACCAGCAGCACCGGCAACAGTGGCAGTAGTACCAGTGGGAGCACCACCACTGGGGAGACAAGCAAGTGAGTGTGGGGTGAATAAGTGGGTTGGTACTTTGGGAAGGGATACAGCCGCCTCCATTGGAGAAATAGCCAGAGCAGGTTGATGGTTGCTCTTGAGACTGCTAACTTACTAATGGTTCCATGGGTCTTGGGAATAAAGATGAAGATTTAATCTAGTCTATGCTTTCCAGTGTAGGTTTGTGGATCAGTCCTAACAGCCATGTAGTTCATTTTAATAAAACAGAAAATAGACAAATCATGATTTGGAAACATTAGCTTTTGCTTGGCTTTTGAGGGGGAAATGGCCACTTCAGTTGTTTGACAGCATTTGGGGTTGTAAGTTGGTATAATGCAGTCACTGTGACATACTGCCAGATGACCTTCTAGTCTTTGGTCTTCTGTTTTTACCCTGGCCTTCTTCAGTCTTCTTCCTTGGGAGAGATGATGAAACTTTCCCAATGGTAAGAACTGATGTTCTCTCACAGGAAGAAGAGTCAGAGCCATAGTAGGAGCAAGGATAGAAAGCGCAGGTCAGTAATTCTGGGGGCTGCTGGGTTTGGGGATGAATGAAGATGGGAATAGAACCCCTGAAGGCTACACTTTAAATGCCAAAATGGTTGTTTTGTCTGTAGTCGTAGTCGAGATCGTGATCGTCATAGAAGAAGAACCAGCCGAAGCCGGAGCCGTGATCGGCAGCGTCGTCATCGTAGCCGGAGCTGGGATCGACGACGTAGTAGTGAGTCACGAAGTCGAGACTGGCGTCGTGAGGATCGTGTACACTATAGGAGTCCTCCATTGCTCACTGGGTATCACCTCTTGGTATTACTATCCCCCTGCTGACAGTCCTGGGGAACCTAGACAGAGCCTCAAACCGTCCAGACAAATGTTTTACCACTGAGCTATATCCCTAATCCTTACCCTGAATCTTCATCTAGGCTAGGACAAGTATACTATACCCTGACTTACCTGAAAGCGCTTATAACCCATTGTGGTAGACAAGATGCTCAGTCACTGGAAGGCTGGTATACAGTATTCTTGATCTGAAAACACTTATTTTGAAAAATGTTTGGGATTTTTTTCAGATTTTATAGGATTTGCATATTTATGAGATACCTTGGACATGGGACCCAAATCTAAGCACAGAATTATTTATATTACACACTTACCTTATACATGTAATCTGAAGGTAATTTTACGCATTTTTAGTATGACTATATTTTGATTATAACTCCTAGTAGAGGTCGGGTGTAGACTTTTTCATTGTGATATCATATTTACTTGTTATTGGATTTTGAAGTATTTTGAATCTTTAGATTAGAGATTGTTGACTTGGGTTAAGAATTCACAAGTGCGCCGGGCGCTGGTGGCTCACGCCTGTAATCCTAGCTACTCAGGAGGCTGAGATCTGAGGATCGAGGTTCAAAGCCAGCCCGGGCAGGAGAGACCGTGAGACTCCTATCTCCAATAAACCACCAGAAAACCGGAAGTGGCGTTGTAGCTCAAGTGGTAGAGCGCTCGCCTTGAGCTGAAGAGCTGAGGGACAGCACCCAGGCCCAGAGTTCAAGCCCCATGACCGACAAAAAAAAGAAAAAAAAAAAAGAATTCACAAGTGATGCTGGACGCCAGTGCTTCATGCTTATAATCCTAGCTACTCAATAGACTGAGATCTGGAGGATTGCAGTTCAAAATCAGCCCAATCCGAAGAGTCTTCAGGACTTCATCTCCAAAAAAACAACCAACAAAAAACCAGGCTGAAGAAATGGCTCAAGTGTTAGAGCCAAGCAATTCCAGGGCCACAAGTTTAAACTCTAGTACTGGCCAAAGCAAAAATTTACATGTGAGATGAAGTGTCAGAATCTGCTTTTTTTATGATAGAAAAATCCAGTGTGAATAGTTTCACTTTTTTTTTTCTCTCCCTTAGGCGTAGGCCTGGCCACAGTAAGAGTCCTCAGTTCAGAGAGAAGAGTCCAATCAGGTAAGTTGATGATGTGTACTTTTTTAGGGTTTCTGAAGTGTGGATACAAAATTGGGCTGGGCATTGGTTGCTCATGCCTATAATCCTAGCTACTCAGGAGGCTGAGATCTGAGAGTTGCAGTTCAAAGTCAGCCTGGGCAGGACAGTCTATATGATTCTTATCTCCAATTACCACCAGAAAACCAGAAGTGGCACTGTGGCCAAAGTTGTAGAGCAGTAGTCTTGAACAAAAGGGCTCAGGGGGACAGCACCCAAGCCCTGAGTTCTAGCCCACAGCAGGGGAAGAAAAAAAAAAAGTTGGAGATCCAAACTATAGGAATGTCTGTTACTTGAAGGCTAGGTGAAGAGCAGTTGCCAAGTATTAAGAAAAGGTGGTCTCACACATTTTACTTTTTTGGTGCCAGTAGTAGGGCTTGAACTCAGGGTCTAGGTGCTGTGCTTTAGCTTTTTGCTCAAAGCTAGTGCTGTACCACTTGAGCCACAGCTCCACTTCTGGCTTTTTGGTAGTTAAGAATCTTTTTGGAGATAAGAGTCACTGGCTTTCCTGTGCGTGCTGGCTTCAATCTGTAATCCTCAGATCTCAGCCTCCTGAATGGCTAGGATTACAGGTGTGAACCACCGGTGCCCAGCTTACACATTTTACTATTTAGGGAGCCAGTTGATAATCTGAGCCCTGAGGAGCGTGATGCCCGCACAGTTTTCTGTATGCAGTTAGCTGCCCGTATCCGGCCTCGAGACTTAGAGGACTTTTTTTCTGCTGTTGGCAAGGTAACTTTCCCACTTTAATTGTCTTCTAAGTACCCTGTCTTCTATCTTTTTTTATGTCCAACTCAGAGTTTTCTTTGTGCCCTGGGATAGGTTCGTGATGTGCGCATCATCTCAGATCGGAACTCACGGCGTTCTAAGGGTATTGCCTATGTAGAATTCTGTGAAATCCAGTCTGTACCACTGGCCATTGGACTGACTGGGCAACGGCTGCTGGGAGTGCCCATCATTGTACAGGCCTCACAGGTGAGCAGGTTAAAAAACTAACACAAGATTGTGAAGTAGAGAGGAATGTAAACATGATCCATCACTTATTTTCTCCTTCCACAGGCTGAGAAAAACAGACTGGCAGCCATGGCCAACAACTTGCAGAAAGGTAGTGGTGGACCAATGCGTCTCTATGTTGGCTCCCTGCACTTCAATATCACCGAGGACATGCTCCGGGGTATCTTTGAGCCCTTTGGCAAAGTGAGTAGAAAATGAAGAAAACATCTGAAGGGAATTGAAAAAAGTAGGGCAATAAATAAATGTACTTCTCTGTTCTGTCTGGCCTGCTCTGTATATTTCATGGGTTCCATCTCTGTGTTGCTTAGTAGACACAAAGATAGACAAAATGAAACCAAATAAGAGGGTCCAGATTAGGCCAAATGTTAAGTAAATTAAAATAAGTAAAAAAGTTAATAAATTAAGTTAGAAAAAGTGTTTTGGAAGTTGGTCTAACCTTTGTTGGCTTATTTATTTATTTTTGTGGTACTGGGGTTTAGACTTGACTTTACACTTGCTAGGTTGGTACTCTTATCACTAAGAGATGCTGCTAGCCATCCCTCACCCCCTTTTTTTTTGAGGATTTTTTTTTTTTTTTTTGGGTCTGGTCGTGGGGCCTGAACTCTGGGCCTGGGCGCTGTCCCTCAGCTCTTCAGCTCAAGGCGAGCGCTCTACTACTTGAGCTACAGCTCCACTTCCGGCTTTTTTCTTTTTGCTTATGTGGTGCTGAGGAATCGAACCCAGGGCCTTGAGCATGCAAGGCAAGCGCTCTACCACTGAGCCACCTTCCCAGCCCCCTCAGCCCCTTTTTTTGAGATAGAGTCCCACTTTATGCTTAAGCGAGCCTGGACCATAACCCTCCTGTATTAAACTTTGCATTATAGCTAGGGTGATAGGTACATGTCATTGCATCCAGCCATTAGTTGAGGAGGGGCTTTCACAAACTTTTTTGCTTGGCCTAGTCTTGAACAGCAATGCTTCTGTAGTCAGCCTCCACATTGACTAGTGAGCCACCATGTCTGTTATTGTTACTAATTTTTTTTTTTGGGGGGGGGGGCAGGGTTGGTCATGGGGCTTGACTCTGGGCCTAGGCTCTGTCCCTGAGCTCTTGAGCCCAAGGCCAGCACTCTACACTTGAGCCACAGCACTATTTCCAGTTTTCTGGTGGTTAATCGGGGATAAGAGTCTCATGGACTTTTCCTGCCCAAGGTTGGCTTTGAACCTCGATCCTTAGATCTCAGCCTCCCTAGTAGCTAGGATTCCAGGCATGAGCCACCAGCGCCTGGCCCTGATATTATTATTATTATTTTTTTTTTTTTTTTTTTTTTTTTTTTGGTCAGTGGTGGGGCCTGAACTCTGGGCCTGGGCTCTGTCCCTCAGCTCTTCAGCTGAAGGCTAGCACTCTACCATTTGAGCATCAGCCCCACTTCCAGCTTTTTCTGCTTATGTGGTGCTGAGGAATCGAACCCATGGCCTCATGCATGCAAGGCAAGCACTCTACCACTGAGCCACCTTCCCAGCCCCCCTGATATTATTTTTATAATAGGATCTCATGTTTTACCTAGGGCTAGCCTGGCCTGTTACCCTCCTTCTTAAGCTTTCTGCATAGTTGGGATGACAAGCATATGTCATCTACACACAGCTTATTTGTTAAGATAGGATCTTAGGTGCTGGTGGCTCATACTTGTAATCCTAGCTACTTAGGAGGCTGTGATATGAGGATTGTAATTTGAAGCCAGCCTGGGCAGAAAAGTCAGGGAAATTCTTTTTTTTTGTTTGGTTTTTTTTTTTTGGGGGGGGTCTGGTTGTGGGGCCTGAACTCTGGGCCTGGGTGCTGTCCCTCAGCTCTTCAGCTCAAGGCTAGCGCTCTACCACTTGAGCCACAGTGCCACTTTGGCTTTTTTCTTTTTGCTTATGTGGTGCTGAGGAATTGAACCCAGGGCCTCATGCATGCAAGGCAAGCGCTCTACCACTGAGCCACCTTCCCAGCCCGGAAATTCTTTAATTAACTACCAAAAAGCCAGAAGTAGAGCTTTGTTACAGTAACAGTCTTGAGGGGGAAAGCTAAGGTATAGTGCATAGGCCCTGAATTCAAGCCCAAGTACACACGCAAACAAGGATGTAATCTTGCCCTAGCTAGCCTAGTCTCAATTCCTGATCTTCCAATGTCCATATTCCAGGTAGCAAGGATTGCAGGTATGAGGCCAGGTACCTAGCTTCATTTCTTTTTTTCTTTTTTTGGTCTGAGACCAGGATTGGATCTCAGTACCTAATGCTTTCACTTGTTGGCTAGCACTCTACCAACTGAGCCAGCTCTCCAACTCCACTTCATTTCTTCTTAAAGAAGGTTTGGAGAGTTAGGGATATCACTTCAGTAGTAGAGCACTTGCCTAATATGCACAAGGTGCTGAGCTCAATTCCTGGATCACAAAAGAAAAAAGGTAGAAAAAGGGGTAAGGGTTGAATAAATGTAGTTTGTTGGCTAGAATGTTAGAGGTATTTAGAATAATAGAGTAGCCAGGAGATTCTTAATAATTTTTTCCTGTTCTACTGCAGATTGATAATATCGTCCTGATGAAGGACTCAGATACAGGCCGCTCGAAAGGTTATGGTTTCATTTCAGTGAGTATTTATTCTTAATTTTTTAATTTTACTTTGGGTTTGTCCACTTGTCTGATTTTGCAGCTCAGCTTCATCCTCCTCCTTTAGGAACTGTCTAAATGACCCATAAACCCTGGTGCTGGAAGCTTGGACTAGCCTTCTGCCCCTTGAGATGAGTGCATTACTTGAGATCTTGGCTTTGCTTCTTCATTCTGTCAGTGGCCCTGGTATGGGGGTGTCTGTGGGTAATAGTAATGATTCTAGGTTGTAGCCAAAAGGTTGGGGGCATGAGGGAGGCTAAGTATGTGCTTTTGAGACATGTTTTTAAGATTGGTGTATTCTTAACGGGTAGAAGAAAGAATAGAAAGATAAACTTTCTTCCAAAACTACCCCATTTGAAACAGTTTCTTCATTGAAAAGACTAATGTAGGTATCTGGTGGTAGACAAGTTTTAACCTTTTCCTGACACTCCAACAAATGGTTTCTATTTCGTTTAATTGGTTCTGCCAGCCACAAAGTGACAGAATCTGATACTTTCTGGGATTAATGCAGGCAGCTTTTGCCCCTATAGTTGCCCTCAGCAGGGGTGGGCCATGTGTTCTATAATGAGAATTGCTCATCTCAGAAGTATCCATTAAAAGGGTGTTTATATTACACTGTTTATATCACCTACCAAGGAACCATCAATTCCACATGCCTGACTCTAGGACAGGTAGAACCAGAGTAAACAAGGCCAGCTGTTGTGTTGGTGATTCCATAGTAGCAAGCACTTGGATATTCTTTGTGACTCAATGGGGAAAGGCTTCTGTTGCCTTGTAGGTCAGCAGCTTTTGACACACAAACAGCCCACTGTAAATCTTCATATCAGCATGCTGCTAGTGGTACTGATGAAAGGGACTAAAGAACAGAATCTCCATGCCAGTCACTTATCTGCACTGGTGTGCCTGTGGGGTGGGGATTGTATCAGCTCTTAATATCAGAGTGAGTGTCTTTCTTTTTAAGCACGGGGATGGAGTTTCAGATTATTAGTACTTGATTGAGTACTAACAGATAGGAACCTTGATTCTTAGACTGTTTTCTATTTATTATATTCTTGTTCTTAAAACAGGCTGTTCCCTGTAGATGATACATACTTTTTGCCTTATTAGATTTTTAGTGGAACTGGAAGATTAAAAAGTGATTGCCACTGAGTCAGTTGGGAAAGGTCCTTTTCAGATAACCATTTTGAGGAAATGGGGATCTTCGGTCACATTTCCAGGACAAGGAAAGGTTTTTTTTTTTTTACTATTGGGCATGCAGTTTTCCTAGGATATTAGCATTAAGGAATCTTAAGTGGGGCTTTCAGAACATGTCTGGTGACTCACGGTCTGACTTTTTCATAGTTCTCTGACTCCGAGTGTGCCCGGCGGGCCCTGGAGCAGTTAAATGGCTTTGAGCTTGCTGGTAGACCAATGAGAGTTGGCCATGTTACTGAGCGACTGGATGGTGGTACAGACATCACTTTTCCTGATGGAGACCAAGAGCTGGATCTGGGATCAGCAGGTGGACATTTGCAGCTTATGGCCAAACTGGCAGAAGGTAAAGTTTTTGCTGGGTGAAGACCTTGGTGAATTGTAGGTTAAGAATTGAAACCTGAACCACCTTTTCTTTATGTAGGCTCTGGAATCCAGCTGCCCACTACAGCTGCTGCCGCTGCTGCTGCTGCCCAGGCTGCTGCCTTGCACCTAAATGGAACAGTTCCTTTGGGGACTCTGAATCCAGCAGCTCTAACTGGTATATTTACTTAACTGGGGAAAGGGAAAGAAGAGTTGGGCTCTGTGCTCATTCAGCTGTTCTGTCTTTCTTTGTTATAGCTCTGAGCCCAGCCCTGAATCTTGCCTCTCAAGCAATTGCTTCCCAGTGCTTCCAGCTCTCCAGCCTTTTTACACCTCAGACCATGTGAGTTTTAGGCCCAGATCGTTTTATTTGGTTTTGTCTGTCTATCTGTCTGTCTGTATCTCTCTCTCTCTCTTTCTTTCATGCATGTACATGTGTTTGGTTATTGAACTCATAGCCTTCTGCATGTTAGGCAAATGCTCTTACCACCCTACATCCCTAGCTCTGGTTATTCTCTTTCTCTCTCTCTCTCCTTTTTTGCTTTTCATTTACCTCTTTCTCGTTACAGGTAAATCAGTGGCACAGCCCACTATGTCCCTGTGCCTCTGGGTCCTACCAGTTCTTTTTCCACATGTACTCTTCCTCTGTTCCATCTTCTAATTGTGGACCAAGCCATCCTGAGGGCATAGACATTAATTCTGGAAGAATTGGGGCCACTTGGAGACACCAAGAAGAAAGAGTTCCTACCCTTGTCCTACTGGGAATGAATTCTGCAGAACAGAGCCCTCAGTTGAAGAGAATAGAATCTATACCTACATTTGTCCTTGTGTAATGGCTGCCAAGATGTCCATCTTGCCCTTTTCCTACCACCTTAGTGCTTGACACCTCCCCCACTGGGAAGGCTTTAGGGCATTAACTACAGGAGCTAACCTCTTTTTCCTTTACCTTTACTCTATAACCTATTAAGGAAAACCTGTAGGACTTCTGAATCTAGAGGACATTGTAGAATTAAGGGGAAGGGGGCTTCTTAAAGGTGCTGGCTTTCCATTGTAAAGGCTCTGGAAGACACCACAGACCTGTGTGTTGTAAAGCTTGTCTTAGGTCTCTGGTAGGCTTAAGGCCAGAACTGCTACTTATAGGCTCAGCATCTTGCTAGGAGACACAGGAGTGGTCTACCTTGCCAGGCAATTGAGATGCCTTAGGGGCTTTCAGGAATTTAGTAAAAGGGGGGGTACATTTCTAATATTTTCCATCTTCCTTGGCGTATTTGTCCTTCTCAGGTCTTTCTTTTGACCCAAGATGGGAAGATGGAGGGGAGGCTGCCATTCTCTACCACTTTTGTGTGCCTATTGTGTCCTCAATCTTGTCATTTAAAGCCACTCCTATCCCCTGCCTGGGCATATGTGAGCCCTTGTCACTGGATTTTATACCCTTGTGTTTTGTGTACACACACACACACACACACAAACTTTGTACAAAAGGCAAGCTCCTTGTTAAGATGTTTGCTGTCCATATGTGTGTGGTCTCAGTTGAGTGTCTGATGTTAATTTCTGAGCCAAAGCCATAGTGGTTCTAAGGATATAAAACATTTGTAATGCCATTGTTTCCTCTTTATTGCGTCTTATTTACCTTTAGGGGAAAAAAACAATTAAAAGAACTCCACCTGGGTAGAGTTCCCCATTTGTATCTGCATTCATACTGTCAGCCACACAGTCTTATCCATCTATCATCTTTTTTTGGGGGGGGGGGGCGGTCCAGTCATGGGGCCTGAACTCTGGGCCTGGGTGCTGTCCCTCAGCTCTTCAGCTTAAGGCTAGCCACAGCACCCCTTCTGGCTTTTTTCTTTTTGCTTATGAGGTGCTGAGGAATTGAACCCAGGGCCTCATGCATGCAAGGCAAGCGCTCTACCACTGAGCGACCTTCCCAGCCCATCTTTTTTTTTTTTTTTGCTTGCCCTGGGGCTTAAACTCTGGACCTGAGTTGTGTCTCTGAGCTCCTTTTTCTTGAGCCACTTCTGGCCTTTTCTGTGATTAATTGGGCTCTTGGGCTCAGATCTCAGCCTCCTGAGTAGTTAGGATTACAGTAGTGAGCCACCAGCACCCAGCTACCATCTGTCATCTTTTTTTTTTTTTTTTGGTCAGTCATGGGGCTTTAACTCTGGGTCTAGGCACTGTCCCTCAGCTCTTCAGCTCTAGTCTAGTGTTCTAGCACTTGAGACATAGCACCACTTCCGGCTTTTTCTGTTTATGTGGTGCTGAGGAATCCAACCCAGGGCCTCATGCATGAGAGGCAAGCACTCTACCACTGAGCCCAGCCCCTATCTGTCCATACCTACCTGCCCACGGGACAGACTTCATCTCCTTTATCTAAAGACAAGTCTTTCCACCAGATGGCAGTGTGACAGTAGCACATTCTGCACCTTCCTCTAGGGGTGTTCTGTGAGCTTGAGTTGCTTAAGTATCAAAGAAACCTCATAAGCTCACTCTCTTATCTTGTTGACCTTTGTGTCTGCCTTTGACCTGATGTAGCAGAAATCCTAGTCCTAAATACATGGGCATGGGCACTATATAATCAGGACCCAATATCTGCTGCTCTTTATTGATCAGTTCCCTCAAAACTTTGTTTTTATGCCTGGGGCAGAAACGACATAGGAACAGTAGATGCAGTAGACCTCAGTGAGGAACAGGAAGAGGTGTATCTTCCCATGCCTGCTTTGTGTAACCGAGTGGAAAAGAGCCTAGCTCTTTAACCTAGGAACCAACCCAAGAAGGCCTGGATTCAAGGGCTTGGCTCTATGGGGCTCCTCCATTCTTTACTGATCTCTATGGCAACAGAATGTTAAGACTTTATCATGCTAAAAATATGGATAATTGCTGTTAGGTTTTAATTTGTCAGCTTTCAGACGTCTAAGGGAATGATGGTTTTGTGGAGCTCTTAGCCTTGGGTTGCTTTCTATACTAATAATGAAGCACGAAAGGCCTGTTTGTGACATAGACCACTGGGACTTTGGATGGACTCCTAATTTTGCTGGCCAGTACCCTCTTCATTGCCATTCTCACCCTTTCCCATTCCTACCCTAGTTTGCTTTCTGGACCTGGGGTAAGAGAAGGGAGATGCACTATTTTTAGGTAGGAACTGCTGGCTATGGCCCAGTCCCCCTATGGTTATTGATTTGGCTGCTAATGCATCTTGAGAAGCATAGGGGACTGTTTTTTGTTAGTCATCCTGAAGTCTTGAATTGAGCCTCCTGATAGCTCACTTGGCCTCTTCCAGACTGTTAATATCTACAGGCACCTGTGCCCCCACTTCTGCATAGTTTCCTTATATTTACATTTTTAGCTACTTCAGCCTTGCTTCTGTTAGGAGGGAAACTGTAGTGGAAACAAAGAAACATCCAGGACAACAGCTCTAGTCTTACCCCATATAAGGTGATGGCATCTAGTAGGTGACAGCTGGTGTCATGGTGTATGATTCAGTGCTGCCTTGTTACTCATCCCTCTATAGGGGGTGGTTAGAGTAGAAAGAAGGGGGCAGTGAACAGCCTCTGCCAGTCTAATGGAAGAGAAACCTCCCTCCAGCACTCCTACTTGAGTATGGGTGGGACACAAGTGAGACTGTGACCCAAATCCTCTTCCAGCATTTAGAATTTCCCTACAAACAGTCCTCAATTCTTTTTTTTTTTTTTTTTGCCGGTCATAGGGCCTGAACTCTGGGCCTGGGTGCTGTCCCTCAGCTCTTTAGTTCAAGGCTAGCGCTCTACCACTGGAGCCATAGCGCCACTTCCGGCTTTTTCTGTTTATGTGGTGCTGAGGAATCGAACCCAGGGCCTCATGCATGCAAGGCAAGCGCTCTACCACTGAGCCACCTTCCCAGCCCCACCAGTCCTCAATTCTAAATAGGATTTTCATCTGTCTTTGGGCTTATAACTTATATGTCTGTCTTCTTTAAGTGTCATTTCCTTCCTTTAAACTTCTGGTCCTTGTCATAGGGATTCTGCCTGCCTCCCGTAGAGTCCAAACCCCTACTTGCTTCTGGGAGGCAGAAGCAAGAAAGCTCAGAATGTTGGAACCAGCACAGCAAGTCCATCACTCAAAAACTACTTGAAGGATGGGTGCTGATGGCTTATGCCTATAATTCTAGCTACTCAGAAGGCTGAGATCTGAGGATTGTGGTTTGAAGCCAGCCTGGGCTGTACAGGCCATGAGACTTACCTAATTAACCGCAAAAATCCAAAGTGGAGCTGTAACTCAAATGGTAGAATACTATCCTTGAACATAAAAGCTCAGGGACAGTGCCCAAGCCCTGAGTTCAAACCCCAGAACTGGCATTAAAAACAAAACAAAAAAAGGGCTGGGAAGGTAGCTCAGTGGTAGAGAACTTGCCTTGCATGCATGAGGCCCTGGATTTGATTCCTTAGCACCACATAAACAGAAAAAGCCTCAAGTGGCACTGTGGCTCAAGTGGTAGAGTGCTAGCTTTGCGCTGAAGAGCTGAGGGACAGTGCCCAGGCCCAGAGTTCAAGCCCCATGACTGACCAAAAAAAAAAAAAAAAATTGAAAGGAGTGATAGTCCAGTGGTAGAGTATTTGTTTCATAATTGGAAGGCCCTAAATTTGACTCCAAGTACCTCAAAAATTTAAAAAGACCTTAAACCTGGCACTAATGACTCAGGCCTATAATATAAACTATTCAGGCAGCAGAGATCTGAGCATCAAGGTTCAGTCAGCCTGGAGAAGGCAAAACTGCAAGAACTCTTTATTTCCAAATTAACTAGCAAAGTGCTGGAAGTGGAGGCATAGCTGAAGTGGTAGAGCTCTAGCTGTAAACAAAAAGTGAATGAGCAGGAGGCCCTGAGTTCAAGTCCTAGTACTACCACCAAAAAAAAAAAAGAAAATTAGCTGGGCACTGGTGACTCATGCCTGTAAATCCTAGCTATTCAGGAGGCTGAGATCAGAGGATCACAGTTCAAAGCCAGCCCAGGCAGGAAAGTCTATGAGACTCTTATCTCCAATTCACCTCTAGAAAACTGGAAGTGGTGCTATGGCTCAAATGTTAGGGTACTTGCCTTGAGCTAAAGAGCTCAGGAACAGCACCCAAGCCCAGAGCTTAAGCCCCATGACTGGAAAAAAAAAATAGAAAAATTATATGTCTCTGAAGGGAAAAGTATAGTGAGAATCAGTAATTCTTGGACAGTGAAAATAAGGCTATTAAAAAAATCAGCATGGGCTGGGCACTGGTAGCTCATGCCTTGTAATACTACTCAGAAGACTGAGATCTAAGGATTGAGGTTTGAAGCCAGTCTGGCCAAAAAAGTCCCCATGAAACTCTTACCTCCAATAAACTACTCAAAAAAGTCGGAAGTGGTGCTATTACTCAAATGGTAAATATCCTTGAGTACAAAGAAGCTCAGGGAAAGTACCCAGGCCCTGAGTTCAAGCCCCAAGACCGGGGCTTGATACCCATAGAAATTAAGTAACTTGCACCTCAGTCTCAACAAGCTCAAAATTCCAGTCCAAGAAGTCTTGCTTCAGATCCTCTGATCTTACTTACTTACGTGCTTCAGCACTCCACAGAAGCCAAGGCCTTGGAGTCAACGGGCAAATAGCATTGTTCCTAACTATAGCCATTCCTCTCAAAAACCATGAATTCGTGTGTGTGTGTGTGTGTGTGTGTGTGTGTGTGTGTGTGTGTGTGTGTGTGTGTGTGTGTGTGTGTGTGTGTGTGTGTGTGTGTGTGTGTGTGTGTGTGTGTGTGTGTGTGTGTGTGTGTTGGCAGGGGTGGGGGGAATGGGATGTTGGAAAACGCTGGGTATTGAACCCAGAGCCTCATAGATAAAAGGCATTCTACCATTGAGCTATACACCAGCCCTGATCCTGAATTTTTCCAGTTCTCTTATTTTTGTTAATCTTGTTTCTACTTCCTTCTCCCCTTTTGATGGTTGAAATCCTGACTTGTAAAATGCTAAAACTTCCCTGGTTGGAGTTCAATATTCTCTGTCCTATTGTGGGTCTCCTACATTGAAAGGTCTTTGCAAACCATATTAGATGGTTATGTCCTGATGAGGCCACTATACAAGTCTTTTTCATTATGCTTTGCTTTGCATACACTAAAAGTATTGAATTAATTCCCTTCTATTAAGGTCAGAGACAGACATTTCAAGCAGTGTCCCATCTAGCTTGCTTTCCCAAGCACTTTGATCTATTCCTTTCTCTCTCCTCCAAGAGAGAGGATGCATCTTTACTCTTTTTGGTGTTACCATGGTAGCCTGTGATACTTTGTGTCTGCCATCCACCAGAGACTGTTTCCATGGCAACCAGGTGAAGGCAATAGTCATGAGCTGGATACAAGCAATGAATTTTGGTCTAAGAAGATGTGCCTCTAAATCTTTCTACCTTCAGATGTCCTTCCTCCCTCCCAACTTTTGTATTCTAATATATCCACAACTAGTTGGTACCTGGTTGAGAACTCTGAATGTGAGGTGAAGCCAACTAACCAAGTTAAATCATGCAGAAAAGGAGCAAGGAAAAGCTGATCAACAACTACTTTAAAAAGTTGGATGAGGACTGGGAAGTGGTAGAGTGCTTGCCTCACATGCATGAGG